CAGCATTACACATGAACCAGACACCCACATGTGCAGCCACAGATCCACCAGACACAAGCACATAGACACACATCCATGTATACATCATGATTTACACACACTTCATACAACCATACAGATGCACAGGCACATGTGTGTTTACACAAGGAACATACCTATAAATCGATAAAACACATTCTTTCAAGGATGCACATAGAGTCACATGCTTGCAGACATGCTTTGCACACATGTTCACAGACATCCTGTCCCTTATGTGTCCCTTCCCACCCTCACTCCAGTCATCAGTCCAATGCTCTGCTGTAGCTCTCATCCACTATGAATGACCCTTTGCGAGGTGGGTATCAAAGGAGGGCAAATGTCGCATGCATATGTGACCCTATGAGTATAAAGCTGTGTGTCTACATGTCTAAGTTTGTATATGTATCGCTGGGTGTCTGGTAGTCTGTGTGGCTCTAGCTCTGTGAAAACAGGGAAGTGTTTCTTTGTGACACTGTGTATTTTTCTGTGTATGTCTGTGTGTATTTCTGGAAGGACCTGTATGTATCTGTGTGTACCCATCTGTCTGAATGAGAGTATGGGTGACAGTGGGGGTTTTTTTTGCATCTGTGTGACTGCATTTTGTGGGCCATCTCTCTGACTGTGTCTTTATACGTATGGCTATGTGTCCATTTGCATATCTGTGTATGTCCCATGTATAGATGGCTCTGTGGTCCAGGCTGCACAGGCTGGCTTGACTGGCACCCTGCTGGCAGAGTTTGTGGCCTGGGGTGGGGCCAGATGGGAGTGGACCAAATCCCTCAGCTGTTGACAGTCATATTTACAGAGCTCTGAGTAGGACATAATTACTTCTATTAATCTTTCTCTGGTTGTTAATTGCTCACTTATCGGGTTGTGTATTATGCCGACTGTTGCTCTTAATTCGTCTCTGTAGCTGCAGGTGTTTGTGGCCTTATTAACAGTTAATCGGCACGGCTAGGGATGGAAACTTAATTGGCCTCCAGAGTGGGACACAGGCGGGCCAGCCGGGCACTGCCCAGCTCTCAGCCTGTCCCTGAAACCCTCACCTGTGGAGCACAGGTGGCTGGCCCACTACCATCCACTGGCAGACAGCAGTCTTGCATACAGCTGTCAGAGTGACAAGTGCAGGGTATGGCCCCCATGCAGTCCTACCTCCTCCAGGAAGCCAAGTGACCAATCATAACCCAGCTCCTCCACCCCTGTCCATCACCAACAACTTTCTTCTACCCAGGATAGGAGCCAACCTCATTTATTTTAATTATTTGAACCTAATTGAGAACTAAGAAATCAACACAGAGTGGAACTGGTTCTCCCCCTTTAACACCTCCTCTACCTCCATCTGACACTAGCAGTAAAGGCTATTAAGGTTACAGAGACACTGGGAGAAAGGAGGGCAAGGAGCTTCTGCCAGAGCAGGAAAGGCTGAAATTAGACCCAGGAAGGACTTCCTAGTTTTTGAGGAGGCGATCTGGAGCAGTTGCAATCTAAACAAAAACAAGAACTTCTAGGATGGGATCTGCTGCTTCATTCCAGCCACACTCAAGGGTTTTCTCATCCTCTAAACACAGCTCTAAAAACAGAGACCTTACTCCCTCCACAGCGCTGCTACACAGCTGCAGCAGTGAGAAGGTTCTTCGTACTGAGCTGACTTCTTACCACCCCACCCCCAGTCACAGCAAGGGAGTCTCAATTGTTCACAATGGGGAAACTGAGGCCCAGAAAGAGCAAGGGAGCAGTCCCAGGGTTCCCCAGTCCTCTCTGGTAAAAGCACATACATGTGGCTCTCCAAGCAAAGTTTCTGCTCTTGGCCTGCCTGGGAGCCCTGCTCCATCCAGACATCTCAGTCCTGGAGGGAAATTTCCCAGCCACACCTCCTCAGCTCTGGCCTTTAAGCCTCTCAACCTCAGCTGTCACTGCTGCAGCTGCCTCAGGCTCCAGCACCTTTGGGACAGGAATGCAAGGTTTCTGGAAACAGATTCCTGAGAGAGAAAAGGATGGGGGCAGGGGGGTGGGGGGGTGGATGGGCTCCTTCACCAACCTGGCCTCCAGCCTCCAAGGACAAACGGGCAAACCAATAGTCATGCTGTGCCTCGAATCCAGTCTGCCCTGACATCTGGAAATTATTCCCGGTGTCTAGTTGCCATGTCTTGAGCTGCAAAGTAAGTTGATTTGCTTTGGTTGGGTCCTGAGAGCAGCAGGGCTCCATGGAGGGAGGGAGGGAGCTATATTGAGTGCCTACTGCTGCCAGAAGCAGCAATAAGTGTGTGTAAAAGTGGCATCCCATTTAACCTTCACATAACCTGGTGAGTTAGGAATTAGTATCCCTACTTACAGAAAGGGAAACTGAGCAATAAAAAGGGGAACTAAACTTGCCTCGGGCCACACAGCCAGGAAAGGGCAGAACTGGGGTTCCAACAAGGCCTGGCACTGCTTGGGGAGCTGGGTGTCTTTGGTCAGGGATACCTGGATGGATTCATGCTAATGGTTCAATAAGGGGACGTGAGGACCAGGAACCGGTGGTCACTATTACAGGTCACCCACCCACCCCAAATCTGGGAACATTGATAAATAAAACACTTACGCATGCGCAGCCCACATGCCCATCAGATGGGATGAGAAAAAAAGGGAACTGTCCAGGGAGAGTTGCCCAAACAAGTTCCGGGCCCGCCTCTATGTTAATGACATGCAGATATATGTAAATTTGTACAGGCAACCGCTCAAACCTTTGGGAGCAATGGGGTGACACAGGAGCGGTTGCTATGGAAATCCAAAAGCGACACCACCCTCTCCCCCCGCACAAGCAGGCGCATAGACACGTGCACAAAGACCCAGGGTTCCCTGCTCCACAGCCCCGAGGATCACGGAGTGGCAGAGGGTGTGAACCGGGACGACCCTCAGAGACCGCGTCCAGCCGGGGGAAGCTGAGGCCCGGAGCAAGGCGCGGGGACAGCAGCGTCACCATACCCGCCGGCCTGAGGCGCCTTCCACTAGAACCGAGGGAGCAAGGTGGCCTTTCGGGTCCTGAGCGACTCCTACTCCGGCCTAGCAACGCGAGTCCCGCCCAGTGTTGCATAGCAACGTCCCTCGAGCCTAGCAACCGCCGGCTACGCCCCCTAGTAACGTCGTACCTACTCGCACTCCCGACCTCCGCCTAGAAAGTCAAAGGGCCAAAAGGTGGGTGGGGGTCATGTTGTCCAGCCCCCGCCTGGAAGCAGTCTGCAGCATTTCGGGGTCCACCCATAGGCCTCTCCGTGGGTGAGGTCTTAGAGAGGTGTCATCGCCCCCATTTACAGAGGGGGAAACTGAAGCTCCAAAATGACAGAGGACAGAGCTTGTTTTTCTCAGCGTGGCCCGGGAGTAAGCAAATGCTCTCTCGTCTCTGGGAGGAAGCCCTGGGCCTGGGGGGAGGGGGTGCACAGCCGTCTCCCCCGCCCCAACTGCATTAGGAAAACCACCCAAGTTGCGGACTCAGAATCGAGCTGTTGGTTTGCATAGCAATTGCGTCATTTGCATATAGCACTGAGGCTATGGAGCTCCCGTGCCCCTCCGAGCCTGAAAAGTTCCTGAAGAAGTCCCGCCCCATCCCCCATTCACCAGTCCAAGCCCCTCTCCCTACCTCCCACCCGCACCCCACCCCCGTCCCCGTTCCCTCACTTCACCCAGCCCCCAGCTCAGCCTGCAGTCCCGCCAGCCGCGACCTCCATCCCAAGGCCGAGAGCTCCCTCTGCTGTCTACCGCGGGTAGGGCAGCCGCAGAGCTCATGGGGCAGAGAAGAGGGTCTCCCCCAGCCAAACATCGCCCTACCCTTCCCAGTCCAGCACGGTCCAGGCGACACCCATCCTGGATAGACTTCGAGGAGTGGGCAAGGAGTACATCCCTCCAGGCCCAGGGGGCGAAAGGTGGGATCCTGCAGAGGTTCTCACCTCCAAGCCAGGCCCCCTTCTCCATGCTGGTTTGGTTAGCTAGGGGCAGCTAGTTCCCAGATCAGTCCTCAGACTCAGTTCTGTCACCCACACTGAGACGCTTTACAATTACAGCAGCTATTAGGAGCTCATTCCAGGCCCGGGAAACCCTAACACCAGCCTCCAACACATTCCTGAACGCCCACCCTCAAGGCCAAGACCCTCGACTTTCTCCAATACCAGTATCTGGGAGCTGGCAAAACGTAGAGAGAGGAGTCATCCTATCTGGATCTCCCAACTTCCTCAGCAGAGACCTACACACAGATGTGCAATCAGACACACACCCATGGACACACGCACACATGCTCTCAGGCACATGCACACACAGAGACCTTCAGAGAAGCACACAGACACAGAGCCACATAGGGAATATGGTGGAGGTATGTGCTTCCTGCCTTCCCCCATCTATCTGAAGGAAAAAATCTTGGTAACTGAACATTTTAAAAACCTCTGCAACTTGCTCTCCTTTTTCTCCCTAGCTATCTCTAGGTGTCTGTACCCCTTCAAAAGCCTCTGTCCATTTCTCTCTCTCCCCATCCCAGTCCTGCCCTCTCTCCCACCACCTCTTCTTCCTCCTAGTTCAGAATACTTGCAAAATGCTCCCAGAAGCTGCCATGGCAACAGCTGTGCCCTGGGACACGGTGGTGGTTCAGGACCTCGGACCAGCAACTGGAGAGGCTGCACATCTGTGGACAGACATTCACAGACACACCCACTCCAACCCACACCTGGCCAGGACCAGAGTCTTTCCTGACCAACCAGCAGATGCAATTCCAACTTTGCCAAATTCTTTATTGAACAAAAAATCTACACCAAACAGACTGCAGAACAGGAAACTCAAACGGGGCAAGTGGGTAGAGCTGACCCTTCCCTTCCTCCACCCCTGCCTCTCCCTGAAACTCCTCAGGGTTCAGCACTGGTGAGAGAATCAAAGCCCCTGTTCTAGTGGGTGAAGAGGGTCAGGTCTCTCTAGGGAGGGGACACTAAGAGTCAGCTCTCTCTGTAGGGCCCAAGGAGGTGTCAGGGGCTGGGCCGGGGGGCTCTGGAGCTGCACTGGGCTGGCAGAGGGGGCCAAGAATCCCAGGGACTGGGGAAGGCTGGGCAGATGCCGCAGAGGGTGCTGGAAGCATCTCCTGGCCAGGGGATAAGAGCGAGGCCGGGGGGCTCTGGAGCTGCACTGGGCTGGCAGAGGGGGCCAAGAATCCCAGGGACTGGGGAGGGCTGGGCAGATGCCGCAGAGGGTGCTGGAAGCATCTCCTGGCCAGGGGATAAGAGCGAGGCTTGGAGCTGATGACTCATGGTCACCAGGGATTCAAGGTGCTGGAGCAGGGCTTGGTGGGGACAGGAGGCCGTATGGAGGTGCTGGCCACGGCCAAAACCATGGACAGCTGGTGCTGCTGAATAGGGATGCCAGGACTGGCACCAGCCTGGTTCTTGAGGCCACTGCCCTTGCTCAGAACCCCGCCAGGCTTCAGCCTCTGCCCACAGTCTCCCCCTGCCTCTGGGGAGTCTCTGCCAAGCACAAATTCCCCCTGGAGCCAGGCTGTCCTTGCCCTGGCTCTGCTGCAGGGCACGCCCTGGGGAAGGGGAGCCCTTCAGAGCCACATCCGGCCTCCTGTTCTCTGGCTGGTAGTATCTCTTCTCCACTTTCCTGTTGAAGGAGACCACCTTGTGAACCTTTCCCCACAGAGAGCTGGACCCTGCTGTGTCCGGAAGTCCTTCCTTAGGGAGCAGCACAGCCAGCAACAGGCTTGAGTGAGTGGCTTCCAGACCTGGGGAAAGAGGCAGGGAAGCAGGGAGGGAGATCCCAAAGGCCTGCTGGGGGAGAACACAGAGCCCCCAGAAGCTGCATTCTGTCTACAGCAGGTCTGAAGGTTAGATCCCAAGAAGAGCTTCCCACAGTGAGATGGGCTCCCATGAGATGCTGGGGAAAGCAGGTGGTAGGGTGAGACTGTCTCAGAAGATTTAGGTTTGGATCCCATATAGGGATGGCCGGTTTGCTCACTGGGTGAGCGAGGTGCTGACAACACCAAGTCAAGGGTTAAGATCCCCTTACCGGTCATCTTTTTTTTAAAAAAAAGATTTGGTCTTGGCATGATCAAGATTCATCTGGCCAAGGGTAGGGTATGGACGTTTGACCTCAAGAATTGGTGGATTCAAAGTCCACCTCACTGTCACAGAACACGCAGTCCAGAAAGGCTAAGCACTTTGCTCAGAAACAGGTATAGTCCACCCCTTGAGCCCCTACTATGCCCTCCCCAGGTGCTTTCCTGGAGCCACACCCTGGAGAGTATCCATGCACAGAGGCCAAGGGTGGCCTGGCATAGCTGTTGTGAAACATCCCTCCCTCCTGTCTTAGGTGACACTTTCGGTCAGTTGTGATCCTGCTTCTGTTCTGCTGCACCAGGGTCAAATGTGGCTATCCTAGAAGTTTCTATTCAGTGGTGCCTAACTGGAGAGGCTGTGTAGTGTAGTGGTTATGAGTCCCAGAGTCACCCTGCCCGGGCAGACTCCTCCCTGGGCCCTTCCTGTTTTACGCCTCAGGTTACAGGGAGTCATTCACCCTGTGGGTGTCTGTAGGATTGGGGCTGGCACCTCACTTGCCCCCATGCCTCACATAAGGCCAGGTACAAAGAAGGGTGCCAATGACTTGTTCTAGAATGAGTAAATGAGTGAATGAATGAATGAATGAATGAATGAGAGTGTGAACAGCTGACTGGGCTGGTCAGTGTGTGAGGGAATCCCTGGTGAGCAGAGCAGGAGAACCTGGATGAGCCGACAGCTCTGTCCCGAGACCAGCTGAGCCTTGACCCGGAACTGCTTGATGGAGAACATGTACAGGGTGCCCTCCCAGGGTGGCTGACTAGGCAGGGCCTTTGCGGGTCCAGCAGGCATCTGGAGCCTGGAGGGAAGGACAGAGAGACAGGACCAAGCAAAGCAGATCATCAGGATCCCCCCAGTACCTCCTTTCTTTTCAGAGAAGGTCCCCACTGCCCAGCCTGGTGCAGAGGGTCACTAGTAGACTGAGATGATTATTGCCATTACACAGATGGGGAAACTGAGGCTCACAGAGGAGGGAAGACTTGCCCAAAGCCATATAGAAAGAAAAGCCCATGCTGTGTCTGCTGCTTCAGCTGGTGGCCTCCCCCTACCAGCCCTGCTGTGTTGCCCAACCGCCCTGCCCCAGCCCCGCACCTGTCCTGGGGCTCTGTGGGAGGCATCTCCCTGGCTTTGGGCATCTCTGGAGAGAACACAGGAGCTGGGCTTGGGGCTCTCTGGAAGACATTGTCCTCTCTGCTCCTGGTGTCCTTTAAGGAGCCTGACAGCTCCGTCCAGGACTTCCACTCTGCAAATAGCAGAGACAGGAGCTGAAACAGGGGCGGGCACTGAGGCCAAAACCAACCCAGGGCTTTAGAGCCAGGTTTCTTTTCAAGGTGACCTGAAAAGACACCCCCACTCTGCCACCTTCTCCCCAGGCCACAAGTCCCTGTTGCTGCTGAACCCCACAGTCAGCCCAGCCTGCCCACCACCCTTGCACCTCCCTGCTGGGTGTCCCTCCCACCCGTGCAGATGTGGCAGTTGGAGTCTAGGAAGTGGTGCTCATGCTGCTCTGTGGTGTCTTCTGATGTGGCAGGCAGGTCCAGTGGGCTGCAGTCTGGGGACACCATGGGTCCCTGGGAGGCAGAGAAGGAGAGAGGGCAGACTAGGAAGGTGGCTGGGGAAGTCAGGAGCCCTCGATGGGTAGGGAGCCTCAGGAATTTGGTTTACTTAATTTTTCTCAAGAACATATTTTTTATTACAAAAATACCATGAACTTGTAAAGAAAATTTGGAAGATACAGAAAAATTTTAGATTAAAGAAAAAAATCACCCTTCTCCCATTACTCAGAGACAATTGTTGATATTCTGGTTATTCCTTTATAATAATTTATATATATACAGGGCTTGGGGGTCCTTTCACTAAAATAGTTGGGATCGACTGTTCAACTCTGTATTCTCATTTTATCCATTAATTATAGCAGAGACATTGGCCACATTATAGAGTCCCCACAGACACTGCGCTGGTGGGGTGGACTGTAGTGTACACATCACCTCTGTTGCTATACATTTGGGTCTTTTCCAGGTTTTCACTGTTATAAATAGCACTGAAGCTACCTTTGTGCAGAAAGTATTTTCCTAAACTTTAAACTATTTTCTTTTTTTTTTTTTTCTTTTTTGTCTTTTTCCGT